TACCGAGAGATTTTGCTACAGATGTTATCGACTTGCTTGGAACAATGCCTTCTGAAAGCCCCTTTGGAGATTTGAATGATGCTGCTCTCACACAAATGATCAGCTTGAATGAGCCTCGTCGTCGACACCTTCTATCTGGTATCGAACTAGTTGACAGGTCTCCTTCTCAACTCCTTCGGCATATACGCCTCTTTTTTGGGGATATCAAGTTTAATGATTCCGTTCTATGCCAAATGTGAACTAAAACTTTCTTGGCACACATGAACACAATCACCTCGTTCCAAAGCTCTAGCTTACATTTGGATTAGCTCACAGAAATGGCTCATAATATCCGCGAATGTCTGACCCACGGAGCGGAAATTTCAACCGTCTCCTCTGGTGTAGCAGCTAACAGATAGCCAACCACCTACTGAGATTGGATGAAATAACATCTAGACAGCCTCAACAACAACAGCGCACCACATCCCGTTTCCGCTAGCTAAGTCAACCAGGAAGAGATCCGACCTACTCCTGTTACCCGTTGTCGGCTTTGCTGATTCAGTTCACCTATTGTCGAGTGTTTACTGTTTCACATCTAACATTCTCGTCGGGGAATATTTGTAGTGGATTGACAGCCACCTTACGTGAGTGTGCGTGCATGAGGGCCCGTCTGTACCAATGACTCACCCTCTTTTGTTATTGGCCTCTTGTCAGCATTCGCCTGTTACGCACGCGTACTCATACGCCCACAAAGTCACTTTGCTGGTTCGTCTCTAATAAGCGGTCGTGTTCCCTGTCGCCTCCTTTTCCACTCTACTCGAGTTGTCTTGGGCTGTTAACTAGAGGGTTGTAAGGTGGTGCTAAGATCAAGCTACTACAAGCTCACACATCTGAGGACTAAATACACACACGCAAATGCCACACACGACACAACGACACCAACTTGGTTGAAATCTGAAGTAAACGGTTGTGTCCACGTGCCATCCCATCTTCTTTATCTTCGTCGTGGGTGTAGGGATTCGTGTTGATTCATGCTCAATACCCCAGTCGTCGTAGCTTCCAACACACTTCCCCCCTTTTTCACGGTGTGCCCGTCAGTCACGAGAGGACGCTGGTTCGCTAACTACTCTGCATGTCCCACCACCACCCCCGCTTTAGTCATGTGACCTCACAGACACCTGTGTTTATTTTTGTACTTGTCCACTCAACTGTAAAAGTACACGACACAACTCGCTGTGTACTGTAAATTGTAGCGTGATGGTCTCTTGTCAACAACCAAACGGTGATCAAACCAAGGCAAATCCCTCCAGCGTATTCTGTTAACATCCGGTGGATCTGAGTTGGGTGACCTTGGCAGTTTTGAGTATGGACGAAATGGGCAAATCGGATTGGCTGATTGTGCAAAGTCTGTGTTCCGCAAAGCGTTTTAGTCAAACTGACCGTACAAAGACGCAAACTGTACCTGTGCCTTCAAAGACGACTGTGCCATCAAGGGACACGAGATTAATTCGCACTGGCGCCGGACACCGAAAACTGGCCGTCACGTTGAGGCTTCCGCCAACATTCGTGGTATTTCCATTAGGCAAGGAATAAGTGAAATCTTCGATGGCGTAATCGGCAACCACGAGCAATTTGAATCGATCTCCACTGTCGAAAAGCAAGATGGCCTCGAAGGAGCCGGGCTTCCGGTAGATGTGCCGGAACACGACCCTTTCATCGAGTTTTTCTCCTGTCACACGACCACTTCCATCGCCGAAGTCGAGGCTGTAGTTCAGGCGTGGATCGTAGTCCCCAGTCAATGGACGCGTGCGTAGAATCGTCTCCTTGTTCACCATCGCGGTGGCCTGATCTATGTAGAGCTCGATGGATCCAAGCGGGCCGACAACGCACACGGCTTTGCAGACATTCGCCTTCTGGTGTGCGTCCGTGACACCATCCACACAAACCATGTGGCTGCCTGTTCGGATAACGCGACCCGTAACTTCTCCGACACACGCACCGGACTGCTGTGTGCAGGTGTGCTTGAAGACGCCTTCGAAGTTGGAGCCTGTCATTTCAAGGCTGCCGTGGAATGTCGTGTCAGCCGTCACCGAGAACAGCAGTCGCTTTGGTGTACTTAAAAGTTAACAAAACGTCCGCCGAATCACGTGCTCATTCAGAAGAACTAAACAGGGTGTATAAGCTATGGTGTGGTAATTCCAGTGCAGTACAAGTACAACAGCTTCGAGGTTCCACAAACTTTCAAGAATCTGCATATTTCGTTACGCACATAATGATTTGGTAACTAATTTTGGGGAATTCAGCACAGATGATGTTCAGTACATAGTCTTCAATAGTATCAGTCGCAGCCACATACGTTCCATCCAAATGTATTTTGTGGGAAATTTGTGGAGCAAACAATCGAGCGACCACCCAAAAGAGTTTGTAGTGAATCTTATTGAGTCATGTCCAATAACCCAGTCCTCACAGCTTCCAGCGCACGTCCCCCCTTTTCACGACGTGCCCGTCAGTCACGTGAGGCCGCTGGTTCATTAACCCCCCTGCATGTACCACCACCACCACCCGCTTTGGTCATGTGACCGCACAGACGCCTGTGTTTATTTTTATATGCCTACGTGTAGTGTGACGCCGGTCTTGCCTGTTCTTTGTCCTCCCCTCCATTCCCGCACTCTCGCCTTCCTCAAGGCACACCCGCGAGTCCGAGGGCAACACCGACCCTCCTCGCGGCCATCCCTTGCCCCACTCCAACTCTCCTTAAGCTCTAGCCCTCTGAGTTTGTATGCGGTAGTATGGAATACATCCGGTTCTTCCAGCTATTCTTCTATCGCGTGCCTAGTAGCTAACCATGATGGTGTGGCTATCTAAGAGGGAGGGGCTAACAGTCATCTCCCTATTTAGGTCCCCGCTCGGTAGCCGCGTTACATGGCGTCGGCTTTGGGCGCAGACATATTGGACCGTGCTGGCTTCAGCCAATCCTGTGTTTATCTGCGTTCCAATGGCGTGCAACGAAGATAAGCAGCCAACCAGAGAACGACATGACTGAGGTGCAGTATATAATGAGCGGCGTGGCCAGCGTGGTGGACTCGGGTTGTACCAGTCTTATTCACACTAGGGCTCAGGTATTCCACACTAGGTTGCAGTAAAAAGAAGCCTCAACAAGTGGTATAAACAGAATAAAATAGACAGACAAACAAGCGTCACTTTAGTTAACCCTCGTTCGATGGACTTACTTGGTGTCGAAGGTGACATCGAAGCCTGGAATCGGTCCGAACTCCTGATAGGTTGCACGCACCTCTGCTGGAAGGTCTTGCGTGGTACTCGCCGCAGACGTGGTGGGATCTACAGTCAAGGAAATTCTCCGCATTTAGAAACAATTCGTGGCAACTTTCGCTCGAGCTAAGTCCTGACTACACACACACGTCTATAGAAATCGGTCAACTCTTCCCGTCTTCCGGTGTGGAGGTTCCAAACCGGTGAACTTCAAAATCGAGGTTACGAAACCCCAATTCAAAGATGTTTTCTGCTTTCTTTGTTCAAATCTGGCGCGTTAGCTCGTGCCACTAAGCGTTTTCCCATTGGCTTAGAGTTAATTGCTAGAGATGCCAATTATTGATTGTCGCAGTTTGCCTGCTGCATGTGCTAGCTACGACACACTTACTACTGAAGTCGAATTTCCAGCATAGAAATGATTGTTGGTTGAGAATAATCGTATGTGACGGCTTACAGAGGGTCAGTGGTTCCTCTCTAGGCGGACCAATGACACGCACCACTTGTTGAAGGCGTCTACTTGGAGCCTGCTGACTCCACGCGTAGGGTTCCAACAATACGATGACAGAATAGATGCCGGGACTCGAAAATTTACTCGTAAATTTCACTCGATTGGGAAGAAGCAGAGTTGCTGATACCTGTGAATTAAAGACGAGGGTTATTTATGCATAGTACTTAAATGTGTCAGTAGAGCGAACTTCGAGATTATCGTGAACTTGCTGGCAAGAGATTTGACCTTAGAGCGGTTACTTATTAATTATAAGTAGTTAATCTACAATGCAATTTCTTCTAGGCAAAATGTCAATGTATGAGCCTACCGCGGGTATAGAAGACGTGGACTCTAAAAAGCCGGACTTATCAGGCGCGCGATTAGCAGAGGTGACGCAGTTGAGGACGTCCGATGGCCCGAAATAGAGTCTGTCGTTTTGTTGCACAGTCCATGGCGGCTGCAAGGTCACCTCCGTGATCTGCGTGCTTGAGGTCATAACTTGCATTACCTAGGCGGATTGAAAATGGCCATGCAGCTGAACGCTGATTGGTGATAGTTGAAATCGTGAGATTTTACAACAAGTCCGGATTCGTTTAGGTGAGGCCACAAACCACAATGGAAAAAGTCTGGTCTTCGTCATCACATGGGATCTGGGAAAAGAGCCCCATATATTGGGAAATTCTGAGTTGCTTAAATAAGCGCTTAAAATCGCCTTGTTACCATGGCAATCGCTTGCTGTGCCCTTGCTGTTGGAGCATCTGGTTAGAGCACATTATTAGCTCCAAGGTTTAGAAATGAGAACAGCTAATAAATTTACAGTGCGTCCTGCGTGGTCAACACAACCACTTTGGAAAGCATGCGGAAATGGGACAATTTTACACATAAAACTAATCACAGTTTTAGGGTGAAGTGTGGAAAATTGGTTGAATCGTGTCGTCAAGATAAAACTTAAGCCCTTAGCTACTTCTACCGCAAGAACCACATTTACAGTTGTGGTTTTTATAAGTTTGGTCGCTAATAAAGTGAATAAGTAGTATATGAAGCTGATTTTTTTAGAAATAATAATAGTAGATCAGCTTACTTCGATGTTTTTAGCAGTGGCCTTCTTTTTGTTGTAGCAAGTTGCTTCAAGAATGTCAGCAATTTCAAATTCCGCACAAACGTATCGTTGGAGCTAGCCAGTAAAAAATTAAAACAACCTCATTAGATGGAACGCCTCATTTAGGCAAAATGATAATTAGTGACTACGTAAGTGAAAGAAAGAAGGCGAAAAAGAGGTTAGGCCTGTGAACGCCCATTTTCTAAACACCTGTTCACACATAATGTATACTGTCGTGCTACTAATAGCTGAATTCAGTAGCAGAAAAGGCGAAATTTTTGCAGTGGATGCTGAAGTACATTTCATGTTAAAAGTACATTACAGTCACCATTCAGATGGTGGTCTAACGGCGAACTCACATCACGCACATGCTCTAACGATTATTTTGCAACACAGTTCCCCAAAGATCAATGTTGATTCCCTTTGTTGATATCGCTAGTTTGTTGCCATGGCAACAGCTGTCACCACAAGCTTTCAATTGTTTCAGAATACCGTGCTTCCATCATTGCGCTACAGGTGTAACACCCAACCACCAACCAATGAGATGTAACTATGACATGCAAGCGGTGCCTAGATGTTGCGATTGTTTTAAACAATTATGACACCTACTATTTGCGTAGGAGTGAGCGACTTCCAAGCCGTCATTTCACGCATGCCATAAATGGTAGCTAGCTAGGGTTGCGTTGACAGTATCCAGCACAGCGCTTTCAACTTACGTAAATCGACACCTCTCCACCTCTGGAAGAAATCCGCAGCGACACGAGTTCACCCTCGTGAAGGGCACCGTTGTTGATTGGCAGTTTGGTGTTGGAGCTGCAGGTCATGTTCTCCTCGTTTAGCCCGTCGTCTAGTGACACCAATCCGATCGTCTCGGTATTGGTTTCTACACAACTCAGAGTTTGAAGTTTTTGTTTGAATGAAGTCATTTTTCGCGACATTTTTAGGTAAAATTGCAACGAAAGCTAGGGCAGGATTCAACAGAATATCGAACTGGGAAAATGTCATCTAAAACTCGTTTGTCTCAAAAGCGAATCTCCTAAATAATTGCTTTTGTTGCTTTTAATTTGTGAAGGTCAAATATTTGGTGAAAATGAGCCTGGTTACGTGAACGATCGATGCCTCAGCTAACACACCAACCGTAGCGTGGTTGAGGCGTTGCACTAAAACAAAATCAATGCATTTCACGAACCCGTGAATTCGTGGACAAACGGTGGCTGACCCTGCCACTGCACGACAGCCCTTATGTGGGTCCCTCTGGAGACAAGTAGTTGGCAGGTAAAGATCTCGTCGACATTAACTTCCTCTGGACATTCGAAAGCTGCGCCAAAGTCGAATGCACCTCTGCGAACCTCCTCGGCACTTGGCAAAGCTGTGGCGTGCTAGAGGCAAATTGATTGGTCGTGTCACAATAAAATCCGCCTAACTAAGACATCCTTGAGATCCATTGAATAAAATGCAACTTTCGACCGTGACCGCCATAGTTCTTGTTAAACTTGACATTTTCCGTGTCGTGTAAGTAAAGATTTATCCACAACTTACAAGATCACCATCGTGACGATATCAGAGTAATTTATTGCCCTACGACTCAATAGCAGCACCTTGTACGTCGGGTTTTAGCCAACAGGTCAAGAATTAAGACCTCACGAACTGTGAGGTTACGCCGAAGGAAGCAGATGACTCCAAACGCTTTACCTGTGTAGTCTCGCCATTTTTCGCTTAGGAGATCGACATTTTACCACTCAACACCAAAGCTGAATATTTCCAAAACGAGGGATAATGCCTTTCTGGAAACTCACCACATGAAGCCGAAGTACAGCAAGAAGGAGAATTGTGATCTGCAAAACAATTGAAAAAAAAATATTATGGTAAAATTAATTACGCAACATGGAGGCAAGTGTGTAAGATGCTATGCAACCTTTGCCACACGCAACGTCGTGTTTGCGTCCATTTTCTCGCTTGAGCACCTGTGAGGGCCCATTAAATACGTGTGTGTGTGGGTTGTGTCCGTGGGTCATTAGTGAGTACAGGAGGGGGCAATGAAGTGAACAATGGAACTCAACATCGTTAAGTTGTGTTGCTTTAGAGACGCGGTCACACAATAAACGAGTGTTGAGTTTCCCAAGCGCTTCCTACAAACAATTGGTACATTGGAAACAAGCAAGCGGTTTCCGTGGACGCAAATAAAATGAAAGCAATAATTATTGGAGCAATGGAATTAGCTCAAAATGGCCTCAGTAGGCATGTAAATTTGAGAGTGACATGTGGATGCTGTTTCCTGATTAATTAAACGGTTGATTGAACAAACAACGCATTCAGAATCATGCGTGACCAAGGAGGTTATTGGCAAAATCAGGTTGGCTAAACTTGTAAAAGTACAAACTTCCGAATGACTGGTTGGATGAAAATGAGTAGGGAGGGGGAAGTACATGCAGAGAGGTAGATGGCAGACGGTTCCTCGTGGCAGATGAAGACGCTGTGAAAAGGGGGGGATGCGTCGGAGTTAATGGATGATTACAATCACGGTCCGCAACAAGGGCAACCGGAGTTGCATTTCTGTAAATTCGCACGTACTTACGTCAAAAGAGAGCAAGAGCTTTGCCATGCAGAAAACCTCGAATGTGTTCTGTTGATACATTTCGGTGAATTTAGACGGCTTGCCAGAATCCCTATGCACGCCACGTAGCAGTTTTTGCAAGTAGAGAGAGCATGAGCTCAATGCGATTGGTTTCGGGCGCAGTTTGAATTGGGTGTCTGTCATCATCTTGGCGTGGTGGACGTGGACGATGGCTGTTGCAGGGGCATCTTGCTGTTTTGGCTTTCAGCTCTGGATGGGTTATATCCTGTTTCATGGCGAATATTAGAGACATTTGGATAGTTAAATTTCAGCAAGTTCAGGATATGGCCGGACTCTCACTATATCCCTCCAATGAAGGATATGTAGCGAATCGTGTCGATTCACGTTAAACACCCCGGTCGTCGCAGCTTCACACACACCGCCCCCTTTTCACGGCGCGCCCGTCAGTCACTGCGACCGCCGGCTCATTAACACCTCTGTGTGTACCACCACCACCACCACCACCACCACCACCACCACCACCACCACCACCACCACCACCAC